GACTCCCAACTCCTGGATGCGAGAGATGAGAAATGCTGACACGGAGATCTGCTGAGCCATTGCTCTCAGACGCTTGGTCTACACGGCAAGAGGCAATTAGAGAGATGCTTGAGCCTTAGGTCTAGCACGGGAGAGAGACATGGCGCGATACGCCAATTGATTGCATTAACGCAGCGGCAGGCTTGTGAGATCTTGTAAGGTGTTGGCACGGTGCAGGAGGTTGAAACACAGGATTTGTCCCATGCAGGCGGAAGCGTGCATATGGTCCTCTATCTACATCACGCCCGTCAAGGCTTCTGGCATGTACCTCAAATGTCAAGTCCAAAGCATCTCAGGCCAATGAGTCCGTCTGTCGAGACTGGAGTCCCGTCACATGCCCACCCTCCCCAACACACAGTTAATGCTACATTGGGTACAACCGAATCAAACGTGACTCATGCTCTTTGAGAAAGCTCCTTCCACAATCCGCATGCTGTTCCAAGAATCGTGTGAGTCCCAGTATCTGTACGTAGAATGTGTAACTCATGGCTGCAACCCCTCATGGTGCTAATTGTCATCATCTTCTGTTGTTGAAGACATTCAGGTGTTTGCCCTTCCCCGTTGCGGTGTGGGTGGCTTGATCCCCCCACAACTCTCAGAATAATAGCAATTGACTGTCAGCCTGCAGACACGAGCTGTCCTCTTGATGGAAGCAGCATGGACATGGAATTCCCTGACGTCTGGAGCAGTTCCGTCCAAAGCTGTTGTATAGGTCGTTCAGATGTTCCCCCCCCCCCCTGTGGTGTGCGTGGCGTTTCCTGTTTCCCCCGTGGCGAGGGTGATGAGAGACGAGCCCCATCCCTGCGGCTGTTGGCATTTTTAAGATCCGCAACATCAAGAAACAATAACAGCTGAAATGCATCGGACCACCACCATCCTTTGAAACAGGTAGCACTTCTGAGAAGTGCAACAGCAAAAATACTCATGGTTGCCTGGATCGTGTCCAGGACACCCATCATCACGTTGACAGTTGGCGCTTATGAGATGCACGACATCAAAAACGATGACAAGTACAAGAATGGCTGCTCTGAGGCCTTAAACCAAAGGACAATTACGCGGATGTTCACACTCTTGAGAGGCCTGGGCTGGGGTCAGGGCACCATACCATGTTCCCTCTCTACACCCTGTGCCCCTGTGTGTGTTTTTGCAAGAGGGCACCCAACTGCCCAGAATTTCGGGAAAACCATCCTCTAAACTCCTAGGCCAAGTTGCTTGCAAACCCAGGCCCTTCGCATCGGCCGTCCGCAAAGGCGCACTGCAGGCAGGTCTTATCCTGGCAGTTGGCCTGAGATCCGGACTTCCTGTTTCGAGCAATGATCTAATTAGTGGATTGCAGGGGAGGTTCATGGCCTTTTTTGGAGGCCCTACATACTTAAGACTCAAAATATGTGGTGAAGTACAGACCGTACCTCACAGACTTTGCAGGCTTCGCCTGGGCAGTTATGCTGAGAAATGCTCAGGACCCAAGCCCAAGACCTAAGTGTGCAAATCCGCCAGCTGCTCTGGTGTACTATCTGATGTCCAAGAGGGACCACGGAGCGCACCCTGCTTTGGAGGCTGTATACTTTCATATTCCTACGATTGATGACATAAATATTACATGGGGTGTGTCAGAGGCAAAGAATTCAAGGCGTGGTTGTTGAAGTCTGAGCAGGTGGCGTAGGATCCCCGACAGCGAGACTCGTCCTCAAGAAAGGACTCGCAGTGTCCTGACTTGGAAATGCTAGGGATCGGAAAGCAGGACTGGCAGAGGCATGCTGGAGGCTGTAGTCTTCTGCCATCGAGCCCTGGAGTGAAGTCCTGCGAACTCACCTTTACAGGCAATGATTGGCTGGATCATCTCACTCCTTTCGGTCCGCAACAGAACCGCCTTTGCGCAAAAAGGCAAGCACGAGATCCAGCGAACACTAGCACTAGGTCACTAGAATTGCCAAGTCAGTTGGGCGGACAGGGGGAAAGGAGATAAGCCCCAGACACCTCCAGACTGCACGAGCACTGCCTCTTGAAAACATATGAAATATCAGGTGACACGAAGTGACAGCGAGGTCACATGCTTTGCCTGGGATTCCGCTGTCACAGCGGTGGCTAAGATTGGCCTGTGGACTCAGACTTCCATCCGCAAATGCTGTCGCACCTAGCTTGCACTGAGCTATTCACAGGCCGGCAGCCAACAACCACCTGCTGGAAGAAGCTGTGGCACACAACACAAGCTTTTTAGGTTATGGCTCAGCCTGAGCTGCAGCGGAACCATCTGGCAGGAAGGACTGACGTAAATCTCAGACGACAAGGAGCTTTACTTGAGCCCGAGCGCAGATGCGCATTTCTGCGTACCGGGCCAGTACAACAGGGGATGAACCGCAGCCTCTTTTTGAGCAACGCCAGGTGCGCACATTACTTACTGGATGGCAACCGCTGGCCAACACGGCCCACCTGGTAATCTCGCCTGTTTTGGCACCAGAGATAGGCGGAAGACGGCTTAACCCTCCGTGGGCTGGAATCTGGGGTCTTCAAGTCTGGCAGAAGATTGCGCGAAAATTTACGGAACCCTTGCTGCAAAGAAATAACTCACCCCAAATGCCTTCACCGCGCTCAGCCCATTGTGATTTTGAGGGCAGGCTTGCACGCCACGCCGCAGACTACTCCAGAGGAATACGGAGGCGGAGCTTTTCTCCAGCAATGCACTTGCCAGCAGCGGCACACATGCTTAACGGGGCGAAAGGCTTTTGCCACACGGTCGTTGGCCCCTTGAGCAGTGCCTGTGGAAAATTCTGGCAAAACAGGGGCTCGTGCTCCCTCTCACTGTACTACATAGCCGCCTTGCCTGCTCGGGTGTCAGAGACTCAGAGACAAAGCTTCAAAGAGTTTACAGTAAACAGCTGTTGCTTAGATTGAACAGCTCTTGTTTTCTATATGAAGCTGTCCGATGAAAGTGACAACGCTCCTCAGCTCTTTCTCTCGGTAGCCCATTGCCACACCCATCCTGACAAGAGCATTGTAAGTGGACTGCATCGGCTCACAGATGGAGAGCGCACCATGCGCACCAAATTGCGGCCCGTATGTGGCATTCTCTACAACTGAGGGAGCTCGGAAAAACTCTCACTCAGGGGCACTTGATTGGGTCTCTGAGTCATGCACCGAGCACTATGAGCTGTGTCGTAGATGTCCGCCGCTTCAGACACCTTAACGCACAAGAATGCAAGGACAGCTGACCTGAAGCTGCTGAACAAGCCCATACCCCTGCTATATTGCTCTTGCGCTACAGGAATCCTCATTAACAGCAGTAGCATGAGTCCTACACGTCCTGTCCCTGACTATTATCACTACCGGGATGCTCTTATGGTCAGTCGTATTTGCCGTGATTACCGTCCTTGTCATCATGAAAGCTGAGCATGCCAACATCTCGAATCATGTCCTGCATCTTCTTGCAGTACGTCTGGTAGTCCATGCAGTACTGCCTTCCACTCACATGTTGCATCTCGACAGCACTGCATTCAGGTCGTTTCAGCAAACAAGAGGACCTGCACAGCCGCTCAAGCGAAGACCAGAATGTTGTATACTCTGATAGCCGCTGATCGAATCTCTCCTCCAAGCAGTCGCTGGCAACCGGGGCACATTGAAGCTGGCACTGACTGACTCAGAGAATAACCCAATAGCCGTAGCTCTCTCATGTTATGTGCCGTCGTTGCACCCGCAAGAGTTTGCTGCTGTTCGCATAGTTGACGAGGCATTCAGTGTGCTCCTGCGTTCAGATCACTTAGGACAAGAAACAGGCAGCACAGCTACCTGCCTTCATCTGGGCAAGCTTCTGTACAGTGCCATCCATGTTCGCCCAGAAGGCTGAGCACCCCTGGCAGTCACGAATGCTGTCTCAACGACATGATCTGAGCATGAGGACAAATCCGGTTAACTGAGGATAATTAGGATACTTCACAACAGGGGCCTGAAGGATCTCGTCCACTCGTTTCAGCTCTCGAAGAGCTCGCAGGAGACACCCTGAGGTGTTCTGGACAAACTCCTCGGCCAGTTGAACAACATGCTACAAACGATCCATGTCTCTGCCCGTTGGCTGTGAATCAAGATCCCGTTTTGGCTGGTATTGGTTTTTGTAGTAGTCTTAGTACTGGCACTACCATTAGAGTTAATTCCTTGTAAATCCAATTAAACCACTTGAAAGTCTATTCAAACCCCACCAAAGTCTAATCAAAATCAAGTAAACCCGAATTAAATTCAGTTCAAACTTGATTCGAATGAATTGAAATCTGAAATCTAATTACAATCTAAGTAGAATTCATTCAACATCAATTGGAAATCTGCTTCACATCAAATAGGATTTCAAGTAAAGCCAGTTGAAATCAAATCAAAACCAACTGAAAATCTGATGAAAGCAACTTAAAGCAAAACTCTTTTGAAATCAATTGAACTCCGGATAGAATCAGTTGAACCATAATCCAGATGAATTTGAGATCCACTTGAAGTCAGTGGAAAATCCAAGTAAAAGCAGTAAAATCTATTCGGAATCAATTGAGCGGTGGCCTAAACCCTTTGAACCTTCGGTTCTCGTATCAATCACTATCGCGGAACCATGCGTTTTACTGACGCGGT